TCCGTTAGAATCAAGATACAGAGATCGTGTAGATGACGGTCATATTTCGGGCGTGGCGGAACGAGTATTATCGAACCTGTGAGCGCGGATTTGACTCGGAATTTTCGAGCGAATCCTCCGCACGGAAGAGAGAACTTTCAGTGAAACATCGGGTGAAACGAGGTCGTAAACAATACATCCGCGACGTTAACGAGCGCTAGTATTAGCTCAAGTCGGGCGTAATTCACACCGTTGCTGCTCGCGTCGCGCGTATCTCGTCGTCGTCGCGCCGACCTAAAAAACCGCAAACCGGATACCGACCTCATCGATCCGAGGGAGGAAAAAATTTCCGGGCACGTATCAGCGCGGTGACGAGCGGGATTCGCGAGCTTTCGAATCCAGATAGTTTAATCTATCATTGCGACGGCGAGACTAGAAGCCGGGGTAACTAGCACGGAATAATTAATAAATGCAAGGTGCATTAGTATGCGTTGCGGGGGATGAGTTCGTGCGGGCCTGAAGTCGGATGAGCGCGGGGCTCGACCGGGGAATTATAAAATAATAAAGAGAAAATTACGTAATGTGAGGATCAGATGAGAATTAGAGGACAATGAAGACGGGGTAAACCTCCCGCTGTCTAAAGGGGGCTGTGCGCTCGCCGGGGGTTGGCGCGGGGTGGGAGACGGAGGTCGAGGACCAGACGTCTTAATGTCTGCATCGTCGGGGACTCGTCCCTTGCGCGCATGACTATCTCTACGACCCTTACATCTTTCCGATAAGAACCTTAAGTCCCGAGGATAAATTCGACTCTTTCTGAACCTTTGATACCGCGAATTCCGGCGTGTTAGTCTGGCACAGTTCGGTAGATCTAATTACCGAGAGGCGTCTGAAGAATGGGATTCAAATTTTTATCGTTCGAGCCGGCTGAGTCAGTCACGTGTCTGGTATATACAGTGACCTCGTCTTTTAATACGTCTCCCCGCAAAAACGAACGTCGTCCCGAGCGGATGAATACAAAAGTGGCATAATTCCGGTACGTGTATCTCACAATGTCCGAACGAATCTTCTTTCTTACATATCTTCTCTTGCATATTAGAAATTAGAAATTCAATCATGTCAGAAACGTCTCGAACGTTAACGTTGATATCGCGATATGCGGATTCCCCTCGTTAAATTAAATTAGATGAGATTTCCATTGGAAAATCACACGAGGCGGGCGACGCGCGCACTAACTAACGCGGCATTTTTCAAATTCACGGGGACATTAAAAATCACTCACCATCGCGCGGTCTTCCGCAACCCTTTCATTACGAGCGCCGGTAAAATGTCGCGAGACTTATCGAAATGGAATACGATGTCGCCGTGGGTGCTAATCGGGGATCCTAATTAGTAGTCAGCCGGCGCAGCCCCGACGCGACTTTGTAAATGGTAACAATGTTATGTAATTAGGTAAAAAGTTCTGTAATCAAGAAGTAGATCTTCTGCGAGCCGACCGCCATACCATCGCGCTCTCCTCTGATCCTCCCACCCTCATTCGTATTAAAATAGTCTCGCTAGGAAAGCGTGCGTTGTGCTCTGCATATCTTAAAACCCAGGGGCCGCGGGGACGCTCTAAGAGCCCCCCCCCCTTCCCTCCTCGTTCTGATTTTTGCCGCGATTCATATTACTACAGACGCGGCTGAGATTATGAGAGCGGTATGGGAGAAAATCAACGGCTCCGCGTCGTCTTAAATTTCGACGATATTGGGACGCTCGATATTTTCGCTCGGTGCTGTGGGCCGTTTCTCGCGTTGATTATGCAAATCCGCGAAAGGCAAAGTGTCATAACACGAGATTACTTGCGTCACGACGTTAACTGTTAACTATTAGCGAGTTCGTTCTTGTAAATTCTGCAATTTAGCAAAACTGTCTCTTGCTTCGCTCGGCCGTGTGTATTAATATCTACGTATCACCGGCTCTCTGTGGCGCTCGGATTTGATTTGTCGAAATTATTTATCCGCGACGCTTCACCCTCGGGAAAGATGATGTGTTTGCGGTTAAAAGCGCGCCTCGGAGCTGAAAACGTCTTCCCGGCTCTGCCGCGGATGGAAATTCGCGATTTCATGCGAGAGCGAGAGGACGAGGCGGCAAGAGTGAGTCGGGAAAGACGGTATCGCTGCGTATTGCTTACCGGGATGCTGACAAATGCACACGTGGTTGCGCAGCAACGCACCGTCGCTGTCACGTAGACATGTGCGATAGCATAATTCGTGTATATACGTAACGCAGCGCGCGTAAAAGGAGCTGCGCCGCGGTTAGGTAAGCACACGCGCGTATATGCACGCATGAGATCATCGGTCGCGTACGCTCGCGGAAACGCTGACGTCAGTGGTTTCGGCCGCTTTTGTTACGCGCAAAGCGATCGCGCTCGATACGACGAGTATCAGGAAGACGAGCGTCGCGATTGTGCACGTGCTCGCGACAATCCGTACACGTTTCATTCCGCTCGGTTAAACAAAGTGTGTGTCATCTGTTGAAATACAACTATTACCGCGCGTCGTACATTGTTAGAGGATTGCAAAATGTTTCGTCGAACCGTCGATAATTTTATTAGACGAAGAAGTGAGTCACGTTTTACAGACGCGGATAATTACCCGACAAGTTGCGGGGGAATAATGAATAACGACGGCAATGTTTCACCGACAAAGAAAAGATTAGGAGTCTCCAGCAGGAGTCTAAGCACGGATGTGTTCCAGTGCGATTGTGTGTTAAACGTACGTCTGAAACTTTAACTCGTCAATTAATACACGGAGAATCTGCTTTTCACGATAAACCGATCATTTGAATCAACAATGATTGAAGTATTTTCCATTAATCCGTCTCGATTCTTGGTGGAGGTTCAATATTTTTCGTAATCATAATAAGGAATAAAAATATAAGTCGTGTTGGGGGAAACGAGAATATATAAACGTCTTACTGAAGTTTTACGGGTGAACTCTTTTCCTTGCGAGAGTTAATGAATGAAAAATGGCTAAAAATCTGACAAACATTTTGCAGGCTTCTGAAATCAGAAACTCTCTGAATTTTTCCACGCGTCTAACTGATATCCGATCATTTTAACGAGAGGATCACGATTATCGCGATATATTTCCGTTACTCTTGCGTAGCGAGAATGCTATCGCTTGAATACAAATAAAATTGCACAGCGGCTGAAATCGAGTATGCGAAGTCGACGCGAAATTCGGCGACCATGAACTCCTTCGCGTAATTCCACTGTACTGTGTCTTCAATTTTTCATCGAACGCACAGCTACATGAGTCTTTACATAACAGCAACGGCACGTGTAGCTTTGTGCCACGTGAAAAATCCGCGCCGAACGCGTTGTAAATCTGCATTGTAAAGGTTAAAGGTTCACGTGCGATCGATAGGGGCGGGGGACATGCAAATGAGCGAACATCGAAATTGTGAGTTGCACATCTCTCGACGCGAGTATCGGCACATCGTCACGCAGTTGAGGATGCGAGCGGAAATTGCGCGAGTCACGAGGCGATTAGGCGTGCGAGTCACACATAATGATACACACCGATCCGAAACTTTCTTTCACACGAGAAACATGCGTCACGTCGTGCGTATTAGAGCTCCGCCAAAAATATTGATGTTAAATAAATATCGTTGAGCGAATATCGATATTTCTGCATCGACGTAACATCGTACGATAACATGCCAACATCGATATTTCGTCGATGTCTTTTCTTCGATATTTTTCCCTTTTTACACTAATCTCAAAGCTGTGACAAGTCGCCCGAATTATTCTTATATTTAAATATACCACCAACTGGTCGTTTATACGACAAACCATTAAAAGTGTGGGAAGAAATGAAAGTAACATATTCTATATAAAATAATGCCACAATTAATATCTGTGGTGGCAAAGTCTGTGCCAACGTTAGAATGATTATTTTCCAAAGCGTGATTGGTATTAACGCAACAAAAAGAACTGACTAAGAGGAAAATCCTTGTCACAAATATTGTGTTGGCAGCCTACAAATAAAAGTTCATTCGAATTGCAATCCATATTCGCATACAAAAACAAATATAAAATGTGTTATGCTAAAACAGAAAAATATTTACTCAGAAGATTTATTAACAATATTGAACAAAAAATTAATACTTTTACCGCATATATACGCGAAAATTACGCGTATCCGATTGATTCGGGCGCGACTCGAGCACAAAAACCGTCCAGATTCGCGACCCAGCGTTCGCTCGTTAAGGTCCTCGGCGGATAAGTAACGAGCTTGTCGCGAAGAGGGGATGCGAAACGACACGGCGGAATTAAATAAAAATAAAACGCGGGATAATAACGTTAGCGAAGGAGCCGAGAACCCAAGACAAATAGCCGAGGGAAAACAAAGCGTATTATAAATACCGGGTGACAGGACGAGTGGTGCGGGAGAGTGAACGCGGGCGTAAGAGGGTGGTCGGCCACGGTCGGACCGAGGGATGGAGGCTCACGAAAGCAGGGGATGACGATATAGTAGCCGGCGACTCCTGGGAGAAAACGCTCGAGAAAGCAACGACCCCGCCAGCATTTTTGCTACCTGCCGACACAATGAGCCGCCGGATTTCTTTTCCCGTTCTCCACCCTTCCTTCCTTCCTTCCTCATCCCCCGTTCTTACCCGCCGGAATTATAAATTTGACGCATCCACCACTCCCACGAGGAAGGAGAATTATGGTCAATAATCTTGAGATCGTATCGCGCGAACCGACAACCGATTGACGCTAGCGGAATAAGCTCGATATTGCGTCCCGTAAAATCCTTTATTGCCAAGGATTCGTCTTCGGCAAGCTATATAAATTATTTGCAATCTCAATTCTCTTTTACACGCGATTGTGCATGTATTGTCTTGTTTTTTTTAGAGAAAGAGAGAGAGAGAAACGAATGTGTTTCGATTACGATGAGCATATCGTCAATACAGCTACACTCTACCTAATTAAGTATGATTCACTTAACGAGCTGAATAAATAAACAAAGACTCACACTAGGACGACCGTGGCCGCGTGGATTCAGCTGCCAGGGAACCGTCGATGGCTGAAAATGCTCCTTTCCCCAGGAACCGTTGTCGAATGGATTTTCACCAATGTGTCCCTAAAAGCAAAATCGATGCAACAATTATTATTTGGGTGACAAACTCACCAGACGCGACGACACAGCCGAGAGGCAGAGAGAGAGAGGGAGAGAGAGAGAGAAACAATAAAGGGCAAACGATGAAATTCACGAGAGAAATATCACGGAATTATTTGCGTGATTGCGCACGAATCGCGGCTTTTTATTCCCGCGCCTCGATAAACAAGAAAAGTTGCGCGGCAGGGCAGGCAGGTCGAGAGGGGCATCGATCTTCGAGGCTCCCGAGTTCCAAAGTTTTTTTTTCAGCGCTTTTCCGCGCGTCCCGCCCCGGCGCAAGCTTATTTTTGTAATATATTCCGCGAGCCGCGGCGCCCGCATCCCCCTCCACTCTTTCTCGACTTTGCACCCCGTAAGCCTTATTTTTCTTTTAACTTTATTTCTAACCTAGAATCTTCCGACAGCAAGGTGGCACGCACATAAATCACCGGGTATAATGAGAACACTTCGTCTTCGGGCGCTTCGCCCTCTCGCTCGTAGACGCATCCCTTACGGGCCGGCTATTATATTATTCGTTGCTTCGCGACGAGGAAATCGCGGCCGGCAGCCGTTATATTAATATTCCGTTCTCCTTATGAGATGACATTGGCATTTCCCCGCGTCACCCCCGAGGGAACGAAGAGAAGAGAGAGCCGGTCGATACGGGAAAAAAAAAAACGATCTCAAAGATCCGTAACGGAAGAATACGCGCGGGGAGCGAGCGTAATTTAAACATGATATTTTAAACGTCACACAATGGAGTATTTTATATGCTATTGATATTGGCGATATTTTATGTTCCGTATTTCATGATGTAAAGTTTTATTTACATTGCCGTTATTTTAAATCGTGCTTTTCGCCGTAAAAAACGAGACACCGTGTGTTGCTAGATTTATTAAAACATATATGGCACGCTTTGGCGCAGTCGTTCTCAACTATCTCTTTTTTTCCTGGCGTGGGTAGATGTTTTTTTTTTCATATCGTTGTCAAAAAGCCGCAAATACAGTCACGCTTAATTGCGAATACTTACTGACGCGACGTAAATATGCGGCCGTGCCGTCAGTACGACGCGTGAGACAACTCGCTCAGAACAACGGTCAGCTGCTCCGAGAGCCACTGCTCTAATGAATTATTTAGCGGCGCAATCCATATTTAGGCCGTAAAAATCGGTTATATCTTAGGCCGGCGAGAGAGCCGGCCAGAATCATAATGATGCAACCATAGTGATTTACAGGAATCAGCGTGGAATATGGCTGACATTCTAAATTATCTTGGCACAGTATAATTAGACGAATTCCCGTTCGCGCGTTACGCAAATCTCAGAAATGCGTTTCGCGTCCGCGCTTCGGCCCATTTCGCGGGTTGAAGCGTGAACGGTAAAAGAAGGACACAAACGCGTCCTAGATGATCTTCTGATAATTTGAAGCGTTTAATAATTCCGGAGAATAAGCATTTCTCTGTGTGACTCAACGCGGAAAAGATTTTCCATCAGTTCTTCGAGTTCGAAAAAATTTACAGGGTTTTAACGCAGAATCAAAATTTTCACTCGGATATCTCCTTGTTTACATCGCGCTTCTTATCTTCTTCTTATCAAGGGGGGTTTGTCAAACGTCAATATAAAAAGTAAATTCTATCATGATCAAAACTGAAAATAAACCAATCAATATTGTACACAACGAATGATTCTACACACCTGGAAATATGCGACACATCGGTGCCCAAAGTGTCGCGTTCCTCGTCTTATCTTCCCGATTCAGCATCCCCATGGCGCGCCGGCCACTAATTCGCACCGACACTCGCGTTACGACACGATTTGACCAGAGACACATGCGTTAATCAACGCGATGCCGACGAGAGAACCCGATTGAATATTTCAAAAGCCGACGAAATATTTTGATCGACCGACGGGAATTGTAACTGACGCACCGATACATATATTCCGCGTCGCGATATGTTCGCGGCACATCGGCTCGATACGTAGTGACTCGGTCGCGGAAAAGCACGGGGCGCGCGACACTATAAAAAAAAAAAAAGAGTCAAAAAAGTCATATCCGTTAACAAGCGTCGCTGGTCGTAATGGCCCGCCAGCGATCGTGAACATTCCTTCAAAACATTCCGGACCTTCAAGACGGTCATCAAACCTTAAGGTCATTCTATATTAGTTGCAAGCCGATCGCAAGCAGTCGCAACGAGAGTTGCAATCGACTAACAATTAATGTAGAACGACTTTTACCTTCGCGCGTCGCGCGATCTTCCGAGTGTTTCTACTATGTTTCGAATTGGCGGATACCGCGAGGCACGTGTATCCGTGCGTTATTTATCACTTCCCCTGCCCTCCCTTCACTCGCCAGGTGATAAAAATATTTCGTGGACTCTTGGGACGATTTAATCGCGCTCTCGTCGACATCGCGTTATATTTGACAGGCGTATCTCGATCAAATTGTATCTTCGCGATTGTGTCAGTGTTAGTACCAGTGAGAGAGCAACCGAGAGCCAGGACACTGGATCGGGAAGTCAGGATCGAGGACGCAGAATGCCGAAATATGACTAGCGACACATCATATATCTCCAGATACGTCAAATCATTTATTATACAGGCGATATATTCGATTTTAACGAACGTTTGACGAACTTACCGAGAAGGAGATATCGAGTCGAAATCTAGACTACATTCACATTCATTTATCATTTCATAAATTATCGCAGCTTCATTAATCTTCGATTATTCGTCTTGTATTTGTTGCCCGTACTTAATATTTCATGCAACAAGAAACGTTGGTTCAGTCAAATATTACGGTTCATGAATATAAATTTGTAATTAATTGTATTCTCAATCAAAGATCGTAAATAATTGATAACTCTGAGAATGTCGGTTTTAGAATCTAGCATAAATATTGCAAATGCTGATTTTTACGTATAATAATGCTTATTGAGTCGCGAGCGCAATCTTGTTTACCAACCGTCTCCTTTTATTTCTATTTAACCTTGTTATTGTAAGGCATCCGAATTTAAATCTCTGTAGATAAAAAGACATTGTTGAATAAATAACTGTTATCACTGCCTTTACAGCGACTCTCTTATCAGGTTTTTCACAAGCCACGAATCTCATCGCCCGTAACGCCATGAAAGAAAAGAGAGATTAGGAAAATAAAAATGTGTCGCTTCTTTCACCCATTTACTTATTAATCTTAATTAAATTATGCAATACTTTCTTATTTCACATACTCTATCTATGCAGCCGACTAGTCATATAAATAATGCATTGCCAACTAAAATTAAAAATAAAGATTAACTGCAAATGTGAAATATGCGTAGATAATAAATAATAAATAATTCCGAAATAAAAATGATTATGAAATGAGTCTTCTCGGATGATAAATAATTCTAAGAAAAATACGTCTCTTTCAAAATAATAAATAATTCTAAGATGAATGTTTTTTTAAAACTCAACACGAAAAAGCAGCGGTGGGTAGCCGTTTGTGATATTAAGGTAAGTCAATATGTCGCATCTCGAGATTCTCCAATGAACCTTCAAGTCGGACGGAATTTGCAGGATCAACGCGGAGCCAAAATTTCGGCTCGTCCTTCGAGGGAGGAAAGCTTCCTCATCGAAGGTACGGAAATTATCGCGCACGAAATATTCTTCGTGAGGGAAGCGTGATCGATTGCTAACGCGAAGTCGGCAAACCGGCCCGAGAAAGAGAGGGAGGTGTAATTACAAAATGCGATTCCGTTTGTTTCCACGCGCGGCTCGCGTAGGGTGGTAGGTAAGGCAAGGTAATACATAACGATCGCGTCGCGCGCGGTCGATGAAACTTGCTCGCCAACGGCTGTCCCTTTCCTTCTTCAGGCCTCCTTTTTCCCACCCTTTCTCTAAAAAGAGAGAGAGAGAGAGAGCTTCGCGCGTACACAGTGTAGAAATAAACAGTGGCGATGGAAAATACCGAACCGGACGGCATATATATAAATACGCGGAGTCTCTATTGAGGCACATTGTGCGGTGCATTTGCATGAGCCGGCCGCGTTCTCAACGCGCAGCTGGACATACACGCGACAAAAGAAAACGAGCAAACAAAACACGCGATGCACTACCATTTTACTCGCTTGTCGTCGTGCCCGTCGTTGTCGTCGTCGTCATCGTCGTTCTACGAGCGAGCGAGCGGCATCATATAGAATGTTGTATGTTAAGTATTGTGTCACACGGTGGAAATAAACAAACGGATCTTTTACCGTTCCGCGACAAACCGAAGATCCAACGTCCCTCTCTCGATACGTTCATTGTCAAATCGCGTCGCGTGCGCGCGTGCGAGCGAGCGACGACATGCCGCGCGGCAGAATTGACGGCGATTTTAATTAACTTCTCTGTGTTACCGTCTCCGAGCAAGAGATCGCTCGCAGTTACGTCTTTTATATTTAAATATAATTGTCACCGCGGTATACCGTGCGATGCGCGCATCACCGTCGTAACGAAAATCGCCGGGAATAGACATTGGCGTGTTTCACTTAATCAATTTACGATGCATTATAATTGTTCAGTTTCGGGAAGAATCTATTTTCTTCCCATTTTTCCGCGGATTTCTCCGGTTTCTTCGGTCCCGAAGGTACAGAAATATGTTTGGAAAAATTCACGTGTGTTCGGTTGACACCTGCCACATTTATTTTTTCCCATAAAGAAGATAAGAAATCGAAAAATGGAATTTTCCCAAAACTTTTAAACTATGTGATATACTTATTTAATCCTCTAATAGTAAAATCGGAATCAAATCCGGCCCCATGCTCTGTCTTATTCATTTTTCACCTAAGTAATGTACAAAATGGATAAAAGAAGTAAATAACAACGTAAAATCTTTTCCTCTATTTATAGATGAAAAAAGTTGACTAGCTGACTTTAAATAATTTCAGTAAAACACTATGAGAAACGTTCCTTGAAAATCCGCCTTGCCATTATAGGGTAAAGATGCGCAAGGCACATGAAAGAGGCACGC